CAGACGTTAGCTACTTTGCCTTATCTTTTTGGCTACAGTGTATAATCAATTTTTTTTTTTTTTGAGATGGTGTTTTTCTCTTGTTTCCCAGTATGGAGTGCGGTGGCTCGATCTCAGCTCACTGCAGCATCTGCCTCCCAGGTTCAAGTAATTCTCTTACCTCATCCTCCTGAGCAGCTGAGATTGCAGGCACACGCCACCATGCCCAGCTAATTTTTGTATTTTTAGTAGAGTCGGGATTCCACAACCTTGGTCAGTCTGGTCTCAAACTCCTGACCTCATAATCCGCCCACATTGGCCTCCCCAAATGCTGGGATTATAGTAATGAGCCACCACACCTGGCCAGAAATAATTGTTTTATGTTGCCTTAAAGTTATCTGTTTCCTTCTAATATTCTGTCTTGTTTTATTTTTATTCCAGAAAGTGGGATACTCAAATATTCTATTATAATATTATTGCACTCTGTGTGTTTCATTAATTCTGTCAATCTTGGCTTTACATATTTGGAAACTTAGTGTGAGATACACGCACACATACACACACAGACACACATGAACACAACAAATGTATATAGAAATTTGTTGTAGGTTCCCAGTGAATGAGTCTATTATTGTTTAATGTCCTTCTTTGTCTTTCTGAGTTTTGACTTTAAAACACGTCTTATAAAATATGACAGTTCTGACTTAAGGTGTAGCTTGTGTAATATTATTTTGACCTCTTCTGCTCTCATTTGTGAATTTTGCATGGGATGTCTGCTTCTATCTTACCACTTTCAGTCTTTCTTTATCATTAGATCTCAACTCACTCTTGTAGAAAGGCAAGCTGAATCTTAGTTTAAAATTTTTTTTATAAATCCTTTTATTAAAAGTATGTCTTCTAATTAAAAAGTTAATTTTACATATATTTAATTTTCTGAAAGAGAAAGACTGTTATCTTATTGTTATTTGAAAGAATGTTATTTTATTGTTTTATTTGATTCTTGTTTCTTTGTTACTATTTTTCTCTTTCCTTCTTTGTGTCTTCTTTACTTTTGTACTTATATGCTTTCACTTTTTATAATTTTGATTCATATATGTATACCGTTTTTTTGTAGTACCTTGGGGATTATATAAAATCTCTAAAAGATGCAGCAGTATATTTAATTCTGGTAAAAAATGAACTTCAGTTGTGTACAAAATTCTTTCTCACTACATCTGCCCTCAACTTTCTTACTGATGTTGCTAATTCTATCTTTTTATGTTGTATATACATTAACGGGTGTGTATAATAATTTCTGTGCTTTTATGTTTCAAGTTTTAGAGAATGAGTATAAATGTTTTCTGCACCACTGTGATAATGCTAAGGAATTGTGTTTTGCTGTATGTGCATATCTTTCCAAGAAAGTTATGTATTTTTTGTCTTTGAGATGGCATCTGGCTCTGTTACCCAGGCTGCAGTGCAGTGACATAATCTCGGCTCACTGCAACCTTCACCTCCTGGGTTCAAGCAATTCTCCTGCCTCAGCCTCCTGAGTAGCTGGGACTACAGGCGTGTGCCACCACGCCCAGCTTATATTTTTGTATGTTTAGTAGGGATGGGGTTTCACCATGTTAGCCAGGATAGTCTCAATCTCCTGACCTCATGATCTACCAATCTGAAAGATAGGGCCTATGCAGTGCCAATGTCCTTTTTTTTTTTAACATGTAGTTATTTTGAAGATTATTTTTAGTTGGCAGGACAGTTTTGCTAATGGTATTCTCACTTGACAGCTGTTTTTGTTTTTTTTTTTCCCGTACTTTTACAGTATCTCACAGTTCCCTTCTGGCTTGCAAAATTTTCATGACATGTTTATTAGTTATCTTCTAAGACTATACTTAAAATTAACACATCACTTTTATCTTGCAGCTTTCAGGATTGCCTACTTGTTTGTGACTTTTAAAATTGCACTTATGTATGTGTTTGTTACAAACATCTTTGGTGTATTCTGGTTTGTTTGTTGAGCTTCTTCATTTGTACATCATTTTCCTTAATTATTTTGTGTGTTTCTCACCTCCACAATTTCTTTTTTTGTTATTTTTTTAAATTTTTATTATTATTATTATTATTTTTTTTTGAGACGGAGTTTCACTCTTGTTACCCAGGCTGGAGTGCAATGGCGCGATCTCGGCTCACCGCAACCTCCGCCTCCTGGGTTCAGGCAATTCTCCTGCCTCAGCCTCCTGAGTAGCTGGGATTACAGGCACGCGCCACCATGCCCAGCTAATGTTTTTGTATAAAATTCTTATTTTATTTTATTTTATTTTGTTTTGTTTAGTTTTTTGTGGAGACTGGGATTACAGGCACGCACCACCATGCCCAGCTGATTTTTTGTATTTTTAGTAGAGACGGGGTTTCACCATGTTGACCAGGATGGTCTCGATCTCTTGACCTTGTGATCCACCCACCTCGGCCTCCCAAAGTGCTGGGATTACAGGCTTGAGCCACCGTGCCCGGCCTATTATTTTTAATATTATTGTTTTTTTTGAGACGGAGTTTCGCTCTTGTTACCCAGGCTGGAGTGCAATGGCGCGATCTCGGCTCACTGCAACCTCCGCCTCCTGGGTTCTGGCGATTCTCCTGCCTCAGCCTCCTGAGTAGCTGGGATTTCAGGCACGGGCCACCATGCCCAGCTAATGTTTTGTATTTTTAGTAGAGACGGGGTTTCACCATGTTGACCAGGATGGTCTTGATCTCTTGACCTCGTGATCCACCTGCCTTGGCCTCCCAAAGTGCTGGGATTACAGGCGTGAGCCACCACGCCTGGCCCTGTTATTGTTAATATTTTTGTGGTTATCCTCATTCTTCTGATTTTTAATAGTTATCTTTGTTTCTATTTTTCTCATTATTATTCAATGTATTTTAAATTTGTTTTTTTTTAAATTTTTATTTATTTATTTATTTTAGAGATGGGGTCTCGCTATGTTGCCCAGGCTGGAGTGCAGTGGCTACTCACAGGTGCAATCCCACTACTGATCAGCATGGGAGTTTTGACCTGCTCCCTTTCCAAACTGGGCCTGTTCACCCCTCCTTAGGCAACCTGGTGGTCCCCCACTCCTGGGAGGTCACCATATTGATGCTGAACTTAGTGCAGACACCTGATCGGCATAGCGCACTATAGCACAGAAGTCCTGGGCTCAAGTGATCCTCCCACCTCAGCCTCCTGAGTAGCTGGGACTACAGGCATGTGCCACCGTGCCCGGCTATTTTAAATTTTAAAAACTAATTTGTATATGTTTATTTTTACTTGTTGATTTCCGAAATTTTAAAAATATTTCGAATGGGGCTATGTTGCCCTAATATTTGGTATATATTATAATCTTTTATTGGAATTTGGACATTCGAAACAAATTACCTACAAATTACTTTTGTAATGTAGCTTTGTCCTGGCATAGCCTGAAATCAATAGCGTTGGATAGATATTGTAAGAATTTCTCAAACATGTTCTTAGGATGTGTCTTGTCTGAAATTTCTTAGTTTTTTTTAGCTAAAGGCATTTGTTCATGTCCCTCATTTGCTACAGGTGTTTTCTGCTTGCAGTACCGTGCAGTCTCTTTGCTGCTGTAACATTTACCTTTGATCTCAGCAGACTCAAACTGTCATTCCAAAGTATACCATTTCTTTCAGCACTATATTTCATGAAATAAAGCAGCCAATATCTGCAAAGCTCCCTAGAAATCAGAAATAAAGATACTTGTGCCACTACTTTTCTTGTCTTTAATAAAAAAAAAAACTAGGAGTTGGAAATTTATTTCTATGTTTTTTTGTTTTTGTTTTTTTGCAAGACAAAGTATTGCTCTCTCACCCAGGCTGAAGTGCAGTGGTACAATCTCAGCTCACTGCAACCTCTGCCTCCCAGGTTGAAGCAATTCTCCTACCTCAGCCTCCCAAGTAGCTGTGATTACAAGTGCACACCATCAGGCCTGGCTAATTTTTGTACTTATAGTAGAGATGGGATTTCACCATGTTGGCCAGGATAGTCTCGAACTACTGACCTCCTGATCCACCCACTTCGACATCCCAAAGTGATGGGATTCTAGGCATAAGACACCACGCCTAACCTGGTAATTTACTTATAAAAGCACTGTATTACTTTAGGCAGCAAAAAAAGCTATGTTGGGTAAATATAACAAACTTTTGGGTTTTTTTTTCTATGTGGCTCTTTGCATTGTGCTCAGCTGGGGCATGTTACACCCTTAATTCATTTAAAAATTTTCCACAAATGTATTTTAGTCAGTATGTTTTTGTAACATTTATATGTCTACGAAGGATTTAGAACCTATGATATTTTGCTATGTCATCTTATTGAAGTAGTTTGCTTAATTTTATAGGTTATATTTGTAAAGTATCTTCATCAAAGTCTTGCAAGTGTAATAATTTGTTGTTTTTATTTATTTCAGTTATGTTTTCTCATTTTTGCCCAAGACCATTGGCCAGGGAAAAATATGAAAGATTCTTTCCAAAAAGAGACACTGAAAAGACATGGAAAATGTAGACATGAGAACTTACCATTAACAAAAGGCTGTAAAAGTGTGTGTGAGTGTGAAGTCCACAAAGGAGGTGATAATGCACTCAGCCAATGTTTGAGAACTACCCAGAGCAAAGTATTTCAATGTGATAAATACGTGAAAGTCTTTCATAAGTTTTCAAATTCAAACAGACATAAGGTAAGATATACTAAAAAGAAACCTTTCAATTATAGAGAATCTGGCAAATCATTTTGCATGATTTCGTACTTAACAGCAGAATTTATACTAGAGTACATTTCTACAAATGTGAAGGATGTGGAAAAGCCTTTAACAGGTCTTCAACCCTCACTAAACATAAGAGAATTCATACGAAAGAGAAATCCAACAAATGTGAAGAATGTGGCAAAGCCTTTAACCAGTCCTCAAACTTAATTAAACATAAGAAAATTCACACTGGAGAGAAGCCTTACAAATGCGAAGAATGTGGCAAAACTTTCAACCGATCCTCAACCCTTACTACCCATAAGAGAATTCATACTGGAGAGAATTCTTACATATGTGAAGAATGTGGCAAAGCCTTTAACCAAACATCAAACCTTATTATACATAAGAAGACTCATACTGGAGAGAAACCCTATAAATGTGAAGAATTGTGGCAAAACTTTTAACCAATCCTCAACCCTTACTACCCATAAGAGAATTCATGCTGGAGAGAAACCCTACAAATATAAAGAATGTGGCAAAGCTTTTCACTGATCCTCAGGCCTTACTAAACATAAGAAAATTCATACTGGAGAGAAACCCCATGATTGTGAAGAATGTGGCAAAGTTTTTTACCAGTACTACAGCCTTTCTAGACATAAGATGATTCATGTGGAACAGAAACCTTACCTATGTGAAGAATGTGGCAAAGCCTTTAACCAGACCTCAAACCTTATTATGCATAGAGAATTCATACTGGAGAGAAACCGTACAAATGTGAAGAATGTGGCAAAGCTTTTAACCATTTTTTACACCTTACTATACATAAGACAGTTCATACTGGAGAGAAATGTTACAAATGTAAAGAATGTGGTAAAGATTCTAACCACCCTTCGACCATTAGTAAACATAAGAAAATTCATGCTGGGCCGGGCGTGGTGGCTCACGCCTGTAATCCCAGCACCTTGGGAGGCCGAGGCGGGTGGATCACAAGGTAAAGAGATCGAGACCATCCTGATCAACATGGTGAAACCCCATCTCTACTAAAAATACAAAAAATCAGCTGGGCATGGTGGCGTGTGCCTGTTATCCCAGCTACTCAGGAGGCTGAGGCAGGAGGCAGAGGTTGCGGTGAGCCGAGATCGCGCCATTGCACTCCAGCCTGGGTAACAAGAGCGAAACTCCGTCTCAAAAAAAAATAAAAAATAAAAAAATTTTAAAAAATTAAAAAAAAAAAAAGAAAATTCATGCTGGAAAGCAACCCTACAAATGTGAAGAATGTGGCAAAAATTTTTACTGAACCACAAACTTTACTTTACATAAGAGAATTCATACTGGAGAGAAGCCCTTCAAATGTAAAGACTGTGGAAGAGCTTTTATCAGCTCCTCAAAACTTACTGTCCATAAAAGAATTCATGCTGGAGTGAAACCCTACAAATGTGAAGAATGTGAAAAAAGTTTTAACTTATCCACTAGCCTTACAAAACATAAGAGAATTCATACTGGAGAGAAGCCATAAAATGTAAAGAAGGTGGAAAAGCTTTTAAGCAATCCTCAGAACTTACTATCCATAAGAGAATTCATACTGGAGAGAAACCCTACAAATGTGAAGAATGTGGCAAAAGTTTTCACAATTCCTCATACCTTACTAAACATAAGAAAATGCATACTAAAGAGAAGCCGCACAAATGTAAAGAATGTGGAAAAGCTTTTAACCAGTACTCAAGCCTTTCTAGACATGAGAAAATTCATACTGAAGAGAAACGTTACAAATGTGACGTTATAATGTGGCAAAGCCTTTAACCAGTCCTCACACCTTATTAAACATAAGAAAACCTGGGCGTGGTGGCTCAAGCCTGTAATCCTAGCACTTTGGGAGGCCGAGGCGGGTGGATCACGAGGTCAAGAGATCGAGACCATCCTGGTCAACATGGTGAAACCCCGTCTCTACTAAAAATACAAAAACTCAGCTGGGCATGGTGGAACGTGCCTGTAATCCCAGCTACTCAGGAGGCTGAGGCAGGAGTATTGCCTGAACCCAGGAGGCGGAGGTTGCGGTGAGCCGAGATCGCGCCATTGCACTCCAGCCTGGGTAACGTGAGTGAAACTCCATCTCAAAAAAAAAAAAAAAAAAAAAAACATAAGAAAATTCATACGAGAGAGAAACCCTAAAAATGTGAAGAATGTGGCAACATTTTTAACAGATCCTCAACCATTACTACTGATAAGATAATTCATACTTGAGAGAAACTCTACAAATGTAAAGAATGTGGCAAAGCTTTTAACCAGTCCTCAAGCATTACTAAACATAAGAAAATTCATACTGGAGAGAAACCCTATGAATGTGAAGAATGTGGCAAAGGCTTTACCATCATCCAACCTTTCTAGACATAAGGAAATTCACACTGAAGAGAAATCTTACAAATGTAAAGAATGTCGCCGGGTGTGGTGGCTCAAGCCTGTAATCCCAGCACTTTGGGAGGCCGAGGCGGGTGGATCACGAGGTCAAGAGATCGAGACCATCCTGGTCAACATGGTGAAACCCCGTCTCTACTAAAAAAAAATACAAAAAATTAGCTGGGCATGGTGGCACGTGCCTGTAATCCCAGCTACTCAGGAGGCTGAGGCAGGAGAATTGCCTGAACCCAGGAGGCGGAGGTTGCGGTGAGCCGAGATTGCGCCATTGCACTCCAGCCTGGGTAAAAAAAACGAAAAACTGTTTCACATACAAAAAAGAAACAAAAAAAAAAAAAAGAATGTGGCAAAGCCTTTAACCCATTTACAAATCTCACTAAACATAAGAAAATTTATACTAGAGAAAAACTCTAATAACGTGAAACATGTGACAATAATTGTGATAACACCTCACACTTAAGCATAAAAGGAATCGTACCTGTGAGAAATTCTAGAAATGAAGAGTGTGATGAAGTCTTTAAATGGTTGTCACACTTGATTTTAGGTAAGATAATTCATACTGCCACAAACTACAAGTATGAACAATGTGGCAAAACTTAATTTATACTCACACCTTATTGCATAGAAAAGCATTTGTAGTTGAAAAATATACAAATGCCGGGCGCAGTGCCTCACGCCTGTAATCCTAGCTCTTTGGGAGGCCAAGGTGGGTGGATCACCTGAAGTCAGGAGTTCAAGACCAGCCTGGGCATCATGGTGAAACCCCATCTTTGTAAAAAAAAAAAAAAAAAAGAGAGAGAGAAATATACAAATATAAAGGATGTGGAAAAGCCATTAATATCTGCTCACATCTTAATATTAGAAAGTTAGTACTTAATAAAAGCATGATCTATGCAATTGCTGTGAAAAGAGCATTCAGAAAATATAAGCCTTTAATGTGAAAAAGAGTAATCCTTTTGAAGACAAACATTACAAACATAAAGAGGGTTGTAGTACTTTTACTTGTATCACAAATCTTATTGTAGACATTTTGTGCTAGAGGAAAACCCGGAAGCAGTTGCTTTAACTTTGTTTAACCTCAGAGAATTTATATATGAGAAAAACCCTGCGCATGTAACAAATTTTGAAAATCTCTTTCAAAAACTATAGCTAAAAAAGCAGCAGAGGATTCATACTCAAATATATTTTGCAGATACAGTAGATATAAAGATATTTAATCCAAGTTTAAGTTTATATAAATATTAGAGGATTCACAGAAGAAATATCTAAGGTTCTGGCACTTCAGACACTACACTAAATCAGAGTGCTGAGTACCGAAAATAATCCAAATCTAAATTTGGTGGACATTTATTTGTATATAACTTTAAAAGAAGTAGAACATTTTTTTGCAATGTTATAGTTACATTCAAAGTATATTTTTTAGCTTAAAAATTTTCTGGTTTTTGAAAAGCAAAAATGATGTAATTCAACTCTCAAAATTACGTCATTCTCTTTTATTGCTATTCTATTGACATGTGAAAGCATGTGATCAGTTGTTGCTACATCAAAGATATAAGTTTTTTTAAAATTGTGGGGCATTATTTGTGACCTTTTCAATTAAAGAACAAGAACATTAGAATGAGTGGGGTGGCCGGGCGCGGTGGCTCAAGCCTGTAATCCCAGCACTGTGGGAGGCCGAGGCGGGTGGATCACGAGGTCAAGAGATCGAGACCATCCTGGTCAACATGGTGAAACCCCATCTCTACTAAAAATACAAAACATTAGCTGGGCATGGTGGTGCGTGCCTGTAATCCCAGCTACTCAGGAGGCTGAGGCAGGAGAATTGCCTGAACCCAGGAGGCGGAGGTTGCGGTGAGCCGAGATCACGCCATTGCACTCCAGCCTGGGTAACATGAGTGAAACTCCGTCTCAAAAAAAAAAAAAAGGTACACTATTTCTTTGTACACTCCTGCCTGGGCAACAAAGTGAGTTTCCATCTCAAAAGTTAAAAAGAAAAATAATAAGAACATTAAAACGTAAGATGCGTGATGAAAATAAAACTGGCGAGACTTTTGTAGTTAACGTATAATACTGAGTGCTGTATGAGACAGTGTTCAGAGTAATTCTGCATTATAATGAAAGAAAACATTTTTAATTTTAGTTACATTTGATTAAATTAGTCATATTTTATGGCCAGGTGCAGTGACTCATGCCTGTAATCCTAGCACTTTGGTGGGCTGAGGTGGGCAGATCACCTGAGGCTGAGAATCAAGACCAACATGACCAACATGGTGAAACAATGTCTCTACTAAAAATACAAAAATTGGCCATGCTTGGTGGTACATTCCTGTAAACAAGGCTACTCTGCAGGCTAAGTCAGGAAAATAGTTTTACGCCAGGAGGCAGAGGTTTCATTGAGCCAAGATCACGCCATTGCACTCTAGCCTGGGCAACAAGAACGAGACTTTGTCTCAAAGAAAAAATATATATATATATATATATGTGTATATATATATGTATATATATACACACACACACAGTTATATTATTTTACTAATGATATTTCTATGTAATAAAATGCAGTACATTTTTAAATTTTTAGATTATTTGTAAACTTCGTTTTTTAATAAAACTTTTTTTAACATGTGTTTATTATACATTCAATGAAGCATTTATTATGCCGCTAACTTATCTACCTAACTCAAAATATAGTTGGCTGGGTGTGGTAGCTCACACCTATAATCCCAGCACTTTGGGAGGCCATAGCAGGCAGATCACCTGAGGTCAAGAGTTTGAGACCAACCTGACCAGCATGGAGAAGGAAACCCTATCTCTACTAAAAAGACAAATACTGGCCAGGTGTGGTGGAGCATGCCCGTAATGCTAGCTACTTGGCAGCCTGAGGCAGGAGAATCTTGAAGCCAAGGGGAGATTGCAGTGAGCTAAAATCATGCCATTTTACTCCAGCCTGAACAAAAAGAGCAAGACTCCATCTAAAAAAAAAAAAATAGTAAGGATTTGTAGTTAAAAAATGGTAACAGTGTGCCATTTGGTAACATTATGAGCTAACATTTCCATTGCCAGTGGCTTTAAGCTGCAAATAAGAATATTGTTATTGTAAGTTAAAAAAAAATTCATATAAACTTATTTTTAAAAATTGTTGTGGATGCATAGTATGTGTATATATTTATGCCACGTATAGAATATTTTGATACAGGCATATAATATGTAATAATCACAGGGTAAGTGATGTATCCATCAACTCCAGGATTTATCCTTTGTATGACAAACCTACACATTTAATTATTTTGAAATGTGCAATTAAATTGTTATTAATTACAGGGTCATTTTATGGTCATAATAAGAATTAGCAGTGTTAATAATATCTTTCTGAATTCTGAATAAACATTTTTAAATTTGTTTATATATATATATATATTTTATTAAAGAAGGGGTTTCACCATGTTGGTCAGGCTGGTCTTGAACTCCCGACCTCAGGTGATCCGCCCGCCTTGGCCTCCAAAGTGCATGGATTACAGGCGTGAGCCACTACGCCCGGCCTAAATTTGTTAATATTTTCTTAAACATGTGGCCTCTGCCTGCAAACACATACAGACTCTTAATTTTATTTACATAGAGGTAAATATACACATATATTACTCTAAACCTTAGGGGTAAAAATATTATAAAGTAAATATGTATGTTTTTGTGAATATGAATTTGTACCTATTTTTAGAGGAGAAGATCAATATTGGAACAAAACAAATCATCTTAAGAAGGTAACTAATTGGCTGGGTGCAGTGGCTCGCACCTGTAATCCCATCATTTTGGGAGGCTGAAGCGGGTGGATCACCTGAGGTTAGGAGTTTGAGATCAGCCTGACTAACATGGTGAAACCCCATCTCTACTAAAAATACAAAAATTAGCCAGGCGTGGTGACATGCACCTGTAGTTCCAGCTCCTAAGGAAGCTGAGACAGGAGAATTGCTTGAACCTGAGAGGGGGAGGTTGCAGTGAACTGAGATCATGCCACTGCACTCAAGTCTGGGCGAAAGAGCGAGACTCCATCTCAAAATATAATAAGAAGGTAACTAATTTACTAGACAACTGAAAACGTCAAAAATGCTGAAAACAAATGTATACTTTCTGCTTTGTATTGAATTTATTACTGTAATATCTTACATGACTTATGGTTCAGAATCCTCCCATGTAGATATGCTGTTGCATTGTCTGGACCCATAATTTTCTTGTTTTTTAGAATTTTTTATGAGGCATTCATTATGTGGATTTGTCAGGGATTAAAATGCTTTTATAAAATTTATTAGTGCAGACAATAATGTTTGGAAGTAATTCCAAAATAGCGTATCAAGTTATAATTTATTTTGTTAGAACATTT